AGTATGATATGTTTCCTATTTACCGACCTATTTTTAAATGCTAGTTTTATATGTTTCCGCTTTCTTCTGTTATTTTCAAATACTAGTATGATATTTTTCCGCTTTACCAAGATATTTTCAAATATTAGTATCATATGTTTCAGCTTTTCCGTGCTATTTTCAAATACTACTATGATTTCTTTCTGCTTTACCGCGCTTTTTTCAAATACTAGTATGATATGTTTCTGCTTTACCATGCTATTTTTAAATACTATTATGATATGTTTCCGCTTTACCGTGCTATTTTCAAATAGCAGTATGATATGTTTCAGCTTTCCCGTGCTATTTTCAAATATTACTATGATATGGTTCCGCTTCACCGCGCTTTTTTCAAATACTAGTATGATATGTTTCCGCTTTACCGACCTATTTTTAAATGCTAGTTTCATATGTTTCCGCTTTTTTCTGCTATTTTCAAATACTAGTATGATATTTTTCCTCTTTACCAAGCTATTTTCAAATATTAGTATGATATGTTTTCGCTTTACTGTGCTTATTTCAAATATTACTATAATATGTTTCCGCTTTACCGTCCTATTTTCAAATAGCAGTGTGATATTTTTTAGCTTTTCCATACTATTTTCAAATATTACTATGATATGATTCCGCTTTACCGTGCTTTTTTCAAATACTAGTTTAATATGTTTCCACTTTACTGTGCTATTTTCAAATACTAGTATGATATGTTTCCGCTTTACCGACCTATTTTTCAATCGCAGTATTATATGTTTCCGCTTTTTTCTGCTATTTTCAAATACTAGTATGAAATTTTTCCGCTTTACCAAGATATTTTCAAATATTAGTATCATATGTTTCAGCTTTTCCGTGCTATTTTCAAATAGCAGTATGATATGTTTCAGCTTTTCCGTGCTATTTTCAAATATTACTATGATATGGTTCCGCTTTACCGTGCTATTTTCAAATACCAGTATGATATGTTTCAGTTTTCCCGTGCTATTTTCAAATACTAGTATGATATGTTTCAGATTTTCCGTGCTATTTTCAAATACTAGAATGATATGTTTCCGCTTTACTCTGCTATTTTCAAATACTAGTATGATATGTTTCCGCTTTACCAAAATATTATCAAATATCAGTATAATGTGTTTCAGCTTTTCCGTACTATTTTCAAATAGCAGTATGATATGGTTATGCTTTACCGCGCTATTTTCAAATACCAGTATGATATGTGTAGTAACCTAATTGACTATGCGCAGGAGCATTACTTTATGTGACCCATGTTTATATAATTTCAGATTACAGTTGACAGTATTACAGTTATGTGTGTAGGCCGTTTGAAGTTAATATAAAGTTATCGTTTTGTTTCTGTTCAACCCATGCGTTGTTCTATCTCCTTCACATCATAACATTGGCGACGAGAATGTCTGTACAACTCAATCCATTACCACCGTTCGACCCGAATGCAGAACTTGGAGCGAGTGTTGCTGCCAGATGGAAACTTTGGCTACGTGATTTTGATACTTTTCTTGTGGCTAGCGGAATTCGAGACGCTAAGCGCCAGAAAGCTTTGTTACTTTACCAAGCTGGACCCAAAGTTCGAGAAATTTTTAACCAGTTGAGTGATGTCAACGGAGAAGGGGATGAAGACAACTTTGCGACAACAAAAGCCAAGCTCATTGAGTACTTCGAGCCTCAGAAAAATCGACGGTATGAAGTTTATCGTTTTCGTGAAACTCGTCAGGGAGATCAAGAATCGCTCGATACTTTTCATACACGACTCAGGCAGATATCCAGTACATGCGAATTCGAAGATGTAGACTTTGAAATCGAGGAACAAATAATTATAGGGGGTCGATCATCCCGTATAAGACGCCGAGCTTTGCGTGACCCTACGTATACCCTTAAAGACATGCTAATCGATGGAAGACGGGATGAAACCAGTTCGTATCAAGCCCGAGATATAGAAACAACCCACGTACACACAGAAACAACGAACCGCTTGCAATCGAAGTCTGATAACAAGACTTGCAACAATTGTGGAGGAGAATGGCCGCACAAAAATCAATGCCCCGCGCAAGGGAAAACATGTCGCAAGTGCAACAAACCGAACCACTTTCAATCAGTTTGTAGGAGCTCAAAATTCTCGAAGCAGAAACAAAGACGTCCTGCACATTCTCGCAAATCACATGCAGCGGTGAGACCTTTGCAGCATGAGGATAATTCTAGTGACGAGGAATACCTGTATACGGTCTCAAATGGCAGTTCAACATGATATTGGATACCGGATCCACAATCAACGTTATCGATAGAAATACTTTCGAAAAGATGCACGGAGTCAAGTTACAACAAACCAAAATAAAAGCTTTTCCATTCAACTCTTCGAAACCAGTTTGTTTTATAGGAAAATTTGAATCGATGATCACAACAAATTCTCGCTATGGAGTTGCAACATTTTATGTCCTAAAAGATCGTAATGCTGGTTGTTTACTTTCAGCCAATACAGCACAAGAACTTGGAGTCATAACGCTGAAATTGAACAAACTTTCAGTTTCAGCAACCCCTACAAAACATATTGATCCGCAAATTGATGCCATTATTCAACGTTTCAACAAAGTCTTTGAAGGAACTGGTAGACTGAAGGGGTACTCGGTGAAGCTAAACATCGACGAAAAGGCAATACCACGTGCACAACCGCAAAGGAGAATTCCTTTTCATTTGAGAAAGAAAGTTAAAGAAGCTGTCACCCAGCTGGAAAAAGAGGGGATCATTGAAGCTGTACCAGAAAACGCGCCTTCGCAGTGGGTATCTCCAATCGTCGTAGTACCGAAAAAGGATGGATCTGTTCGTCTTTGCGTAGATATGCGTGTGCCAAATACTGCAATAAAACGTGTACGTTATCCGATCCCTACATTGAATGATATCAGCATTCAACTCAATGGTGCCAAATATTTCAGTAAATTGGATCTAAACCAAGCTTACCACCAGCTACCATTACACATAGACAGTCGTTTTATCACTACCTTCAGCACACACGTAGGACTTTATCGATACACTTGTCTCAATTATGGGACAAATGCTGCTATGGAAATTTTCCAGCATGTTTTACAAGAATCTTTACAAGGTATAAATGGAGTGCTGAACATCGCAGATGACATCGTAGTTTTTGGCAAAACTCGCAAGGAACACGATTTAGCTTTGCAAAATTGTTTGCAACGTCTGCATTCAAAATGCCTTACGCTAAATCTCAAGAAATGTAACTTTCTACAGAAATCAATTCAGTTTTATGGACAAATTTTCACAGAACATGGTACGCAGCCAGATCCAGCACGCATAAGCGATCTTCAGAATGCACCAATACCTACCAGCATCAAAGAGGTACGAAGCCTGCTCGGAATGGCAAACTATAGTGCTAAGTACATCCAAGATTTTGCGACGCTCACTGCACCACTTCGAGAGTTGACAAAAAAGAATACACCATTCGTATGGCAAGCAGTTCAACAGAAAGCATTTGAAAACATAAAATTGGCTCTGTCTGAAGCTCCCGTTACGTCGTATTTCGATACCAATAAAGAAACTTTCGTTACGGTGGACGCAAGTCCCGTAGGTGTATCTGCAATTTTGAGTCAAGCAACCAAGAACAGTGATGATTACAAGGTTGTTGCTTACGCCAGTCGTGGACTGTCCGATACTGAGAAACGATACTCGCAAACGGAAAAAGAGGCTCTAGCCATCGTTTGGGCCGTAGAACATTTTCATTTGTTCCTATATGGCAACGAATTTACTTTGATTACAGATCACAAACCTTTGGAAACCATTTACGGCAGTTGAAGCTCTAAGCCGTCCGCGAGGATTGAGCGATGGGTTTTGCGACTACAACCTTATTCGTTTAAAGTGCAGTACAAGGCAGGAAGCGAGAACTCTGCTGATTATCTATCCAGACACCCCTCCAGTCAACAATCGCGAAAACAAGAAAGAATTGCGGAGGAGTACGTAAACATGATTACGAGTCACTCTGTGCCTAAAGCTATGTCGCTAGACGAAATAGCGAGTGCTACCAACACTGACAAGACATTGCAAGCATTGCGAGCCGCTATACGAACAAATAGATGGCAAGCATCTGATCGTTTAAAGCCTTATTGTGCAATCAACGATGAGCTCACTGTTGGTGCGAAGGGAATTGTTTTGAGAGGAACACGTTTAGTTATACCAGAGTCACTTCAGCAACGAGCTATAGATATTGCCCATGAAGCTCATCAAGGTCTTTCCAAAACAAAAAGTCTATTACGAGAAAAAGTATGGTTCCCAGGTATGGACAACCTAGTTCAGCATACCCTAGATTCGTGCCTGACTTGTCAAATTGTCGGCAAACCATCGCCACCAGAACCTCTGCAACAAACTGATTTTCCTAAAGGACCATGGGAAACTGTTCATATCGATTTCTGTGGACCGCTTCCTTCAGGAGATCATCTTTTAGTCGTCATTGATCGTTATTCGCGATTTCCGGAAACCGAAATTGTGCGATCCACGAAAGCATCAACTGTCATTCCGAAGCTGGACAAAATATTTTCGGTACACGCCATACCACGTGAATTAAAGACAGATAACGGTCCACCATTCTCGAGTGAAGAGTTTGCACGATATGTAAATATCCTCGGTATAAACCATAAACCTGTCACACCTTACTGGCCGCAGGCAAATGGAGAAGTCGAACGCTTTAATCAGCCTCTTATCAAAGCCGTACAAAGCGCAGTGGCAGATGGTAAGGTATGGCAACAAGAACTGAACCGTTTCTTGTTCCAGTATCGTAATACACCTCACAGCACAACGAAAATTGCGCCATCAGAGTTGTTATTCAACAGGAAAGTACAAGGAAAATTCCCTACTTTAGAGAAGCATCGCGTAATAAATCGACACAAAGAAGCTAGAATAAACGAGGAACGCAGTCGATCATACCAAGAAACATATGCAAATAAACGCAGAAAAGCAAGGAAGAGCAACCTTCAAGTTGGAGATACTGTTCTTGTCCGCCAACAAAAAAGGGACAAACTAACGACACGATTCAGCAAAACGCAATACAAAGTCGTAAACCGTAAAGGTACGCAGATAACTGCAGAAGACAGTAATCATCGTCGTGTAACTCGCAACGTATCATTTTTTAAAAATTACGCGCTCAGATGTCGGATTCCGAAGATGCCAATCAATCAAATCGAGCCACATACGCTTGTGAACAAGAGGTTCCTAGACCTGCTGAAAGACTAGTTAGAAAACGTTATGCACCAGTACGATATGGTGAACCAATACCATTGGACACTTTGTAAACAGTATACGAAAAAAACTTCTTTAAAAGGAGGAGTGATGTAGTAACCTAATTGACTATGCGCAGGAGCATTACTTTATGTGACCCATGTTTATATAATTTCAGATTACAGTTGACAGTATTACAGTTATGTGTGTAGGCCGTTTGAAGTTAATATAAAGTTATCGTTTTGTTTCTGTTCAACCCATGCGTTGTTCTATCTCCTTCACATCATAACAATATGTTTCTGCTTTTCCAAGCTATTTTCAAATACAAGGATGATATGCTTCAGCTTTTCCGTGCTATTTTCAAATATTACTATGATATGGTTCCGCTTTTCCGTGCTATTTTCAAATAGTTGTATAATATGTTTCAGCTTTTTCGTGATAATTTCAAATACTAGTATATTATGTTTCAGCTTTTCCGTGCTTTTTTCGAATACTACTATGATATATTTCAGCTTTTCCGTTCTATTTCCAAATACTAGTATATTATGTTTCAGCTTTTCCGTGCTTTTTTCAAATAGTTTCATGATATGCTTCGGCTTTTCCGTGATATTTTCAAATACTCGCATGATATACTTCTTTTCTTCCGTGATATTTTGAAATGTCGCAAATAAGAAACACGGCAATTCGCTGAGAATATACAACAATAAATACACGTAAGTCAGTTAAGGCTGATATTTCGCCCCGGCATACGGGGCTTCATCAGAGCAAAAGTTAATCGATTAAAAATGTACACATTCAAAAGAGTCGATGTTGGTGTCGGATTGGCTGATGTAGAATGGTGTGAATGCAGCGCAGCGGTGGAGGAGGGAAGGGTGGCGAATGAGAGAGCGTGGGTGGTGGTGGTGGAATGAAAATGTAATGAGGATGAAGTACTATAATATGAAATAATGATAATGTTGCTGTAAGGTTAACGGTCAGTGGTTCTGTTCATTCCGTACGGTGTGAGAGTGTTTGCCAGGCCAATGAGGTATTGCTTTTTGGCTCGTCGGACACTCTCACGTTTGTCGTTGACTTTCAGTAATGGTGTTACAGTGAGGTCATTGATGGTATGTTCTGGGCTACAGAAGTGTTCTGCAACGCCAGATTTTTTACTTTTTTGTTGATAATGTCTCGTCTGTGTTCATTAAATCTGGCTTTCAGTCATCTGCTTGTTTGTGCGATGTATTGGCACTCCTTGTGTCCGTAAGTATAACAGCGTTTGCATTGTAATGCGTAAGTAACGCTCGTAGAGTTGCAGTCCAGTCTTTGTTTGATGTCGTAGTTTTTGTCATTATTAGTGAAGTTAAAAGTAGTAGTACCATCTGTGATGTGTTGGTTAACGACCAGAGTATTCCTTGCTGTTGTGGTGTGAGTGATCCTTATTTGCCCCAATGCTGGCTTGTTATTTGCTCATGTTTCCGCTTCATCCATTGTGGTCCTGGCTCTCAATGAGGTGGGCATATATTTGCCTGAAATTTGGCATGTTTTTTTTCACGAAGCCACTTGGGCCAAATTATTTTTTGTTTTTCGTGGCGAGTGTGATTGTTATTCGCCCCAATGCTGGCTTGCTTTTTGCTCATGTTCCCGCCTGACCCCTTGTGGTCATGGCTCTCAACTAGTTGAGTGTTTTTATGGGCCTGAAATCTGGCATGTATAATTCATCTTGAACCCACTTGGGCCAGGTTATTCTTGGCTTTTCGTTGCGTGAGTGATTGTTATTCGCCCCAATGCTGGCTTGCTATTTGCTCATGTTTCTGCTTGACCCATTGTGGTCCTGGCTCTCAACGCAGTGGGTGTATACTCGCCTGAAATTTAACATGTTTATTTATCACGAACCCACTTGGGCCAGGTTGTTCCTTGTTTTTGTGGTGGTTTGTGTTGACAGATTTCGTATAGCACCCTGTAATGAGAGAGAAGTAAACTGAGGAAAACCAAAATCTAACATAAGCACATTTGTGGCTTTATTCAACAAAAATTAGTCTCAACTCA